TGGCGTTGGTGCGGACTGCCGAAGCACAGCCCTTTCGCAGAGCTGGGCGTAGGCGCAGGCGTTGGTGCAGGCGTGGGCGCAGGCGTAGGCGCGGGCGTCAGTGCTGGGGTCGGTGCTGGCGTCGGCGCGGGAGTGGGCGCTGGCGTCGGCGCTGGCGTCGGTGCCGGCGTAGGCGCAGGGGTTGGTGCTGGCGTAGGCGCAGGCGTTGGTGCAGGCGTGGGCGCAGGCGTTGGCGCGGGCGTCGGTGCTGGGGTCGGTGCCGGCGTCGGCGCGGGAGTGGGCGCTGGCGTCGGCGCTGGCGTCGGCGCGGGCGTGGGCGCTGGCGTCGGCGCTGGCGTCGGTGCCGGCGTCGGCGCAGGGGTTGGTGCCGGCGTAGGCGCAGGCGTTGGTGCAGGCGTGGGCGCAGGCGTTGGCGCGGGCGTCGGTGCTGGGGTCGGTGCTGGCGTCGGCGCGGGAGTGGGCGCTGGCATCGGCGCTGGCGTCGGTGCCGGCGTGGGCGCAGGGGTTGGTGCCGGCGTTGGCGCAGGCGTTGGTGCAGGCGTGGCCGCAGGCGCTGGCGCGGGCGTCGGTGCTGGGGTCGGTGCTGGCGTCGGCGCGGGAGTGGGCGCTGGCGTCGGCGCTGGCGTCGGTGCCGGCGTAGGCGCAGGGGTTGGTGCCGGCGTAGGCGCAGGCATTAGTGCAAGCGTGGCAGAGGTCGACGTGGCAGAGGTCGACATGGATGTGACCGTTGCCGTGGTCGTACTGGAGCCTGTCGTGGAAAATGAGCCTGGGCAAATGTATCTCCACTTTGAGGACGACGTCGTGTTGGAGCCCGAGGTCTCGGAGAACAGAACCGTGTCCATGTCGGAGTCGTAGACACAACCGAAAGTAAACGAAAAGGCCGATCCGAAATTTATTGGATCTCCAGTTCCAGTCAATCCGACGTACTCCATCGCGGGGCCGAAGCACTCCGTGGAGTTCGACGGGTCTGGGAGGCCCACGTTGTAGCAGGTCAGGCCTGGATCCAAATAGCTATAGACTTGAACTAGCCGGCGGTCCTCCTCATGCTGCGGACCTCCCAACGCCACATCCGTCGCCCACGGCCATGCAGGCAGGAGTGAGACAGCTGTCGAGGCCTTGCTGTCTGCAATCGCGGAGAGCGTCCCGTTGCGGACGCGACTGTCCGCGACGCCGCGGCTGGCGTCGAGCTCTGGCTGTGTGCCCCGCAGACCAGTCCGCGCCACGGCCGCCTCGCCAAGTGAGGTAGCAGAGGGCCACGTCGTCACCACCTTCGCGTTGCTATCTTCGGCTGATGCCTTGGTGGCGTCCGCGCCGCCAACGCCAAGTGAGAGCACGGCGACGGTGCCCAAAGACAGCTTCACGAGCGTCAGGACAAAATGTTGACGCACATGCGTGGCCATGTGCGCCGAGCCTGGTCGCAAACCATCTGTCATATGGCAGGTACCGCAGATGTCGATTAGGGGTAACGACTAAGGACAGTCGAGCTGCTTTGGCTCCCCGTGTGCACAGCGGCAGCAGCGCAGGCTTGAGCCAAACGCTTGAGCCAGGCTACGGACCTGGTGGGTGTACGCGATGCGCCAAGAATAGCAAAAAAGGGCATGAACAGATGTGATCGGAGGTCCGCAAAGATTTGTTGGGTCGGCGCTGGGCCCCCCCTCCTGGCGTCGCCCACCAGGGGGTGTCCGGGGGGGGGGGTCGCCAGGGGGGGGTCCTGGGGGGGAGTACCTGGGATGGGGGTCTCGAAGCCAAAAGGGCCCACAAGGGCCTTCACGAGGGCTCGTGAGCGTCGTCGTCGCCGTCGCCTTCGTCGTCCACCTTCAGGGTCAGCGGCACTGGCCGTAAGGCCTTTGCAATCAAAAGCGGCACGAACACAAACTTTCGGCGGTCCGTGCAGATTTGTGGGGTCGGCGCTAGGCCCCCTACTTACGTCCGCCCACTCCCCAGCGCGCGGTGTGCGCTGGAGGCGTCGCCAGTCCCCAGCGCGCGGAGTGCGCCGCAGGCGTCGCCAGGGGTGTGGCAAGCAATTCGCACCAGCCTCCGAAAGCACTTTTGCCGCTCCAGCGCTCATCTTGTAGGAAGCGAAAGAGAAGGCGAGAAGAAGACAACGCACACGATCGACTCTTGACACGCGACTGTGAAGCGGGGCCTCAGCACACCCACCCAGCGCACGAGGCGCCCAAGAGGCGCCCACGAGCACACACGGGCGGGTACCAGGCGAAACCTCGCCACACCCATTCAACACGAGGCGCCCACGAAGTGTCCACAGGCGCCCGCCAACGGGGCACCAGCCGAAAATCCAGCACAGCCAACAACTTACCCCAAGGACAACAAGGCATAGCAAATGAGTGCAAGCATGTTTTTGAGGAAAGGGTCGTGCGGCCGATTGATATCAACATAGTGGTATCGTTAGATCGATCGACTGCGAAACCGACCCGACGCCATCCCCCAATCAGACTCCGTATCACCCGAAGGGTGGTCGCATCGATCAATACAATTTGGTTGTTGTCCTTCGTGCCTTCATCTTTTGGGGCAGGCAAACAGATGGGCAAATCGCCCGGTACCCGTCCTGGGAAGCCAACCCTTCCTTCAGCTGATTGTGCATGCTGCTCACTTATGCCGAGGAAGAAAAACTGCATAAAAATCAACTTTTGAAGGTCCGCGCGGATTTCTTGGATCTTGGCTAGAACTCCCTCCCTAGCACGCGGAGCGCGCCAGGGGCGGCGCTGGAGGCGCCGCCAGGGGGCCCCAGCGCGGTTCCAAGAAATCCGCGCGGAGCGCCAGCAATTCTTGTTTATGCCGTTGCTTGTTCTCCGATCATGGCTCTGCCCATGCCTGGATCCACTCGCTTCTAAACCATCCTGTGCATGAAGATGATGCGCACCGAGCGGCCAAGCGCCTGGACGTAATAGACACGAAGGCGCCCCCCCGAACTGACGCACCCGTCGAAACGTGACTTCCGCCCACACATTCGACAAACCATCCGTCAATTGATCTGCCGGACAATTTGTCGAGCGGACATTTTTTGGTCTGCGGGTCGAGAGCGAGCCTCTTCCGGCTAAAGCACAAATTGTCGAGCGGACATGCGACGGCGCGTATTCCAGAGGCCTGCTAGATGGGGTCGGAGTAGATGAGATCGGAGACTCGCACCGCATCGCCGATACATCGGCGATGCGTCGGCGATGCATCGGCGACGTCGACGTGAAGCAAATCGGGCGGCACATCCACCCGCATCGGCGATGCATCGGCGATGCGGCGCGATGCTCCGACCTCATCTGCTCCGACCCCGTCTGGGAGGCCCAGATCCTAGATGCTCAGCCAAGAGCTGACGCAAGCCAAGCGAGGCATGGCGTTCTTGCGACTGGACATCTCCATGCTAGCACGCTACTCGAAACTCGTCGCGGCTGTCATACGCACCGCCGAAAGACAGCCATGGTACAGCATCTTCGCCATATGCGCATCCGATCCCATCCGTTGCTCACTGCCATCCCATCGTGCAACCTTCGATGCAAGCCATGCGTTTTGCAAGTAGACGCGCGGCGGCGGTCCGGTCGTAGGATCTTGGGACACAGGTCCTTGATCTTCTGCGGCATTGTGGCGCTGAACAGGAGGGTCTGTCAACGAAGCGGCGCTGGGAGAGCGCGCAGGGAACGCACGCCGTCCATTGGCTGTCCATGCATGGGGTTCACACTTCGTTTGCTCATGGTGTGAGGGCTGGCAAACTCGGATTCCAAAGATGCCGACGCCGAGAGGCATAGCATCTGCAGAGCATGCAACGCCATGCCAGACCCCGTACTCCGTGCGCGTGGGATCAGGCATCAAGGGGCAAGAGGCAACGAGCACACGACCCGGCAGCCGAACTCGGGGGATGGGAGGCCAATGAGAGCGCGGGATCCTCCCTCCTCAGTCCTTCCTGCTCCTCCTCGCCCCCTTTTCCATCCTCCACCCCTCCTGCCTCTGCCACCGTTTCGGAGCCCTCGTCGATGTGCGGCTGCCGTGGTACAGTGGAGGCCCATGCCAAGAAACGCCCTGCTTGCCTCCAGGGTGCCCTGGACTTCTTGGGCTTCGAGGTTTCTGCGATGGAAAGCGCGACGCTCCTTCGCCAAGAATCAATGGACGTCCTGGGGTCTCAGGGTTGGATTTCTTGTGGAAGGTTTCTTTCGGGGGCGCGCAAACATGGATTAGCAATCCATGGATTTGGCGCGAGGTCACCAAATCCATGGGTCGGGGGAGGTGCCCTCCCCCAAAATGCGGCCGGTGCCGCCACGCTCGGCGGCGGAAATCTGCAATCTCCCATGGAAACAGGACCTGTCGCCAATCCACGCCCCCTTGATCCATGTTTGCGATCGCCCGACTCTTGTGGACTGACCTCCCCTTGATTCCATGCTTCCTGCTCCACCGTCGTGCTGCGCCCTGTTTTTTTTTCTGCGTCCCAGTCATGTTGCGCCCCATCTCCTTCTTCTTCTTCTTCTTCATATTCTTCTTCTTATTATTATTCTTCTTCGTCGTCTTCTTCTTCGTCTTCTTCGGCATGCGCACTTTTCCTGCCCACGCGCCAAGCGGCGCATGGCCTCTCGCGTCGAGTCGAGACCTCCGCTGCAGCCCCCTGGGCGCCCCCATCACACCCGCACGCGGCACGGCGGCTCCCCACATCTCTGCTCCGCGAGAGAAGGGCGGGCCGCGGGCCGGGGGGGGGGAACTCTCCTCCGCGGCAGGGCGAGGGGGGAGGAGGAGGAGGAGGAGGAGGAGGAGGAGGAGGAGGAGGAGGAGGAGGAGGAGGAGGAGGAGGAGGAGGAGGAGGAGGAGGGGGAAAGCGAGAGGCAGGAGGCCTTTTCTCGGGGGTTGCTATTACCAGCCTCGAACGTATCCCTATCCCTGAGATGGACACGCCAAGAGGCGATGACGATCTTGGGGAGTCGCCCAACAAAAAATGAGGGAATCCCTAAGATTGGCATCGTGATGAGGGGCGGCCGCCGATCGTTGACGGGGGGCAAAGTCCGCGCGGGGGGAATGAAGAAGCGCTCTCCCTTCGCACATCTCTCGGGCCCGCGTTTTTTGCAGTTCTGAGGGCCGCTCGGGGCCCGTTCGGGCCACGCTCCCTTGCACCGCCCCCACGTTTCGTGCCCCCCCGTGGCCGCCCACCTGACACGGCTGGTCTTCCCTCGTTCCCTCACTTCCTCCCGCCTCGCTTCCGCTCCTCTTCCGCGATGGGCGAGCAGCTACACGTGCAAACGACTGGCAACAGCCCCCCCTGGACTGGCTGCTTCGCTCCTCCCTCGATCCCTCCCTTCCTCCCTCCCTCGCTCCTCCCTCCTCGCTCCCTCCCCGTTGCCGCCCCGCTCTGGTGGAAGAGCTGGTCTTTTCGGCCACAGCTTTTTTAAGGAGCGCGGGCCGCCCAGGTGATTGCCAAGGGGGCGTGAAGGCGCCCCGCGCTGGCTCAGGAAGTTTTTTCGCGATGCGACGAGGAGCTGGTCCTGGGAGGACCCCTGCCAGGGTCTGGGGGCCCAATTCCCTCGCCGCCGATTTCCTCCGTCTTAGCCTCCGCCAACGGGAGCTTGAAGGCTGTCGCCGCGGAGGCCTCGTCCGTCTGCGGTCCGCCACGGGAAAAGGCCCCCGCCCTTCCCATGTCACGCCTCTGTGGGCGTGGCACGGTGGTCACGCGCCCGCCCTGCTTGCACCAGCGGTGGGCCACGGGGAGAAGCTTGGGAGGGCGAGATGGGGGAGGTCAGAAGGGTCCGAGGTAACACTTTGCGGGATGAGGCATCGCTGAGGGATAGGAGGGACGAGAAACTGCATGATGAAGGAGAATGAGGATGACCCGAGGTGTCTGGTAGCAGGTTGCAGGAGGAGCGGCCGGAAGAGAACTAAGGAACAGAACGGAGGAAATGGATGAGGAGGAGCAAGGGTCTAGAGGGCCTGAGGTGACATGTAACGTGAGGAAATCCGATGGTGATGATAGTGATAATGATGATGCTGCTGATGGTGATGATAGTGTTGATGATGTTGATGATGGTGACATTGAGAACCCGACAACCATCGGAGAACCCTCAAACAACCACCTTGACACCTACGAGACGAACGCGAGACAACAACACGACCATAGAGTGACCGTTGGGGCACCATTGGGACACCATCGGGACACCATCAAAGCATCATCGGGAGGAGCACCTGAAGACACTGCGGGGACAAATAAATGACACCATCGGGACACCATCGCGGCACCAACGGGACACCATGTGTGCACACTCGGGACACCAGATGGACACCATGGGGCCAACATCTGGACACCGCCATGACAACCTGTTTATCTCACTATTGATCTCACTATCGGTCACTCTATCAACCTATCAGCCTCGCTATTGTTCGGTCGAAGTGTCCATCCTGCAATCGATCCCACAATCGA